AATGCCATAGCTGGAGGAGAAAAAGAAAAGGGGGGGGCAGAAGGGAGAAAGAGGGTGAGAGAGGTAGAGGGAGACAGGAGGAAGCAAAGGTGTGAGGAATAGGATAACCATTCCGCAAGTTTCTTGCGGGTCTCCACTTGTATCCTCTATATGGCATGGGTCAGAAAATGGATATATACAAGTGGGGACCCACAAGACTCGGGGGGGGGGATCCCATCCTCCCCAATTCCTGGTATTGTGTAGTGGGTTGCCGCTTGGATGGACGACAGACAACGTCGTAGTGCATAGCACGCTTTATTAGGTACACAACAAGAACAGAGGACAAACGGCCGGCCGGCCAACTATATACACAACCAGGGGACCACCCCTGGGTCCCATTGGCGGATTTGAATCTCCCGCCACGGTCCCATTGGTTCCCCCAGCTTCTGGGCTGAAGCTCAGGCGTGTGCGCTGACCTCCGGTGGCAGTCAGCGGACACCACACCTGGGCTGCTCCCATCGTGGCTCAGGCTCCCCCCCCCCACTCACTGTTGGTGCTGTTGGTGCTGCCACCCTTCGTGGACAGGGTGGACGGGCGAGGACTCCTGTGCCCTCTCTCCCACTCCTCCAGGATCACTGCCTGGCCAGAGCCCAAGGGTGGAGGGTATCACTGGGGGTGGGGTGGGGATTCTGTGCCTCATTCCCAGCCCACCCCAAGTGTCACTGCCTCAGCACAGGGGGGCTGGCTGGTTCTGTGCCTCCTCCAACGTCCAGCTCCAGTTTCACAGCCTCAGGGGCAGAGGGCAGCAGCTTCTCCCCACCCCCCTCCAACCTTCTTGTCCTTGTGTGCCACAGATCTGCAGGCAGGGCCATGTTGGTCATTAGATGTATAGATAGAGCTCCTCAAGACTCTGTGTGTAACATCTCTCATCATAGAAATCTTGGATCTGTTAAGTGGTAACTTTATCCCTAACATTGCCAATAGTAGATTTTTCTCCATTTGTGCCAGTGGATAGTCAGGACTGCAGAAAAGCAAATTTCTGATCCAAAAGTCAAGTCCTTGGAAAAGAGAAAGGAAAAGAAAAGAGTCATGTTCATTGATATGAAGGAGGAGGAGATTGGATTTATACCCCACTCTTCAGTCAGTTCTTATTTGAACACTTGGTGAAACAGCTCAGTTTTCACGGCTCTACAGAACTGCTGGAGGTCCCGTAGAGCTCTAATCTCATTGGGGAGCTCGTTCCACAGTGTTGGCGCCACCAGGGAGAATGCCCTGGTCC